TATATATATATATATCTTTAATGACTTGAATACAAGTAGTATGAACACCTTTCTTTTCTAAAACTCTCTAAAGTACTCTTGGAACTCTATCATAAATTTTTTCCACTTCAACAAAATTGTTACGTAGATCCTCTTTAGTCTCTCTGTACTTGTCCATCAAATGTCTTAATAAATATATATCTTCTATAGTAGACTTGCCTGACATGAATCCAAACTGATTTTGAGAAATTTTTTTTATCACATCATAACCTATGTTCAATTACTCTTTCATAACTTTAATGTATGACATACTAATTGATTCTTCTAGAATTTGCACTTTTATGCATGATCCTTATTCTTAAAATAGAGATCAATAAATTCATTCTCCACTCATCAAGCATCTTTTTAATTTTGAAGATATTATTTAAATCTTTAGAAGGACAAAAAAATTCTCAAATCTCCCAATTTTTTAGCACTTCTATTGGAATGCATCATGTCCTACTGCTTTTCAATACTTCATTTTCTATAAAGCCTCATCACCTTTCATTTTATTTGTGTGACGATGAAAAAAAAAAATTATTATTATTATTTATGATATTAAGATCACTATAATCAATCATATTTTTGCAGTCTATTGAAAAATTTATTCAAATATTTAATCTTACTTTAGTGGGATTAAGGCTTTGTTGTTGTTGTTGTTTTATTTCATCTTGCTATGCCAAACATTTTCATCTAAGAAAATTACTTATTGATTTTTATTATTAATACGCTTTACTTGAACTAAATCCTTACTTCTTTTTCTCCGTGCGTGCTTTGCTAGTTTATATATATATATATATATTTCACTATTTTTAGTATATAATCTATTATAAAGATCACTAAAAACAGAATTTTTATCATCACAAATTGTTCTTTTACACTCTCTTTGGATTACCTTATATTTTTTTAAATTCTCTAAGCTTTTACATTTAAACAAATTATATATAGATATATCACAAAAAACAGAATTTTGGCATCACAATTTGTTATTTTAGATTTCTTACATTCACCTTATAGTTTTTTCAATTCTCCTAGTTTTTCTATCTAAAACAAAAATTTTTATCTTAATATTTTCTTTCGCATTATTATTTTACCACAAACTATTTTTATTCATATAAGTTTTTTTATTTTTTTATTTTTCAAGCAATCTTTTTGCAACTTGTTTAGTAACACCCAAATAAAAAATAAAAAATAAATGCTGTTCAAAGTTGACTATGATGAATTTCCCTCAACCTAAAATACAAATTTCTGCTATTTTAACCAATCTTATCTGAAGTTTTGTCTCATCATTGAGAGATGGTTGTTTGCGCTGATGTGAAACCTGGAATCTGATCATAAAGTTTTCATAAACTAAGTGCAAAATGTCTATGTAGTATCCATTTTTATGTCTAATCTGATTTTTGAAAATTTGACACAACAAATCACTCTCGAAAGAACTATTCACAAAATTTTGGAGCCCGTAATCTTTAAATTTATCTGATCATTAATGAATGTATAACGGACATTATTAAATTGAGTTGTAATAGCTTATGTTTTGGTGCTCATGTTTATGTTTACTGCTATAATGATTATTCATATACTTATTTTTAGGTTTTTTCATTTGGAAGTCACTATTGTGCAAGATTTATCAATAGCTGGAAGAGAATAGGTATGTTATACTTGGTGGAAGATTGATTAATGTACTTCTATTTAATTGCATGGTAGTCTTTGCAAAAATATTTTGAATGCCCTCTTTCTAGAATTTAAACGGTTGATAATGACCATCTTTGGTAGATCTAGTGCAAATTTTAGATATCGGGAAATTATCTATTTAAATTTCTTAATGGTATTCATATATATGACTAAACTTACATGCATGATGATATTGTTGGATTTAACTCTATTTAACGGGACAACTGAAATTAGAGGGCGGGCTTTTAACTTGTGCCCTCTACGGCAATATTGACTTTTTTCTTATAAAATAGATTGAATTGTTCTTGTAAAGGCCTTCTGAATGTATATTTTAATGATTATAAGCGAATAATCAACCTCAAATTTATTACATATTATTTAGCCTCGTTACTTGCTTCGAAGCCACTATTCTACTATTTTAGAATATTATTAGATCATATTTAGATCTACTAATCCGGATTACCAAGCAGTTTTTACTGGAATAAGATTTTCCTTCTTCAAAATCATAAAGCAAAGGGCAGTCTTATATTGCAAGTAGGGCTGTCAAAAAAGCTCGTTGTTCGTGAACAGTTCGTGCTCGGTTCGTCAATGAGTTCGTGTTCGATTCGTTCGATAAGTAAACGAGACGAACGTGAACAAATTTTTTTCGTTTGGTTAGTTAAACGAACTAAACACAAACAATGATACGTTCGTTCGTATTCGAATCGTTATTGTTCGAAATATAAAATAATTTAAAATAATTATATACAAAAAATTTATGATATCTTAAAAAAATAAAATTTATAAATCATAATATATAATAAATTAATAATAATAATATATTAATATACTATATTAGTAATATACTAATATAGATATTATATATTTATATAATATAAGTTATATAATTAATATAATATATTATTTATATATATTAATATTAGGGATGTCAAACTGGCTCGTCGTTCGGGAACAACTCGTGTTCGACTCGTTCGTTAAGAAACGAACACGAACAGTGACTTCACGAATAATTTCGAACGCGAGCTTATTTCAAACAAATTAAATTTCAAAAGAACCGAACATGAACACAAGCTCTGTTTGTTTATGTTCGATTCGTTTACATTCCTAATTGCAAGATATAAGGCAAGCTAACACCCTTAGGTCTTGGGAGATTCGCCAGAATAGCTAATTCGAAACAGCCTTTTGCAGTGCTGTTAATTACGATCCTACCACCCTCAGATGCAAAAAAATACAATAATTTGATTTTTAAACCTTTATTCATTCGGATTTATGGTCATGAACTTTCTGAAATGATTACAATTGCTTTTTTTAGAGCAGATTATCGTTTGATGGGGTTTTTGAGGGTAGATCTCGGTACAATGTTTAGGTAGATCCCTTATGACCGTTTTTTCCTTGCTTAAAATAATATAAGTTGATATTTGTCTTTATAGTGGTAGTCGTAGAGAATTTCTATGAATTACTTGGTGGAATCCGCAAGGCAAGTGGAGGAGGAAGCTGTGATTGGAGAGAGGTTTCATTCACATTTTAAGGATATGAAAGAGAGAATTGGCTAACAGTATGATATGATCCAAAATCAAAATCAGTGAGCAAATGACGATGAAATATAATAGGTATGTGAAAAAATTCAAATGAGGGTTGCCCTTACAAAAATCAAAGAAAAACAAGTTACAAGGATGATTTACGGTTCGAGAGGTGTATCGTTTCTCCCATAACCTTTGAAGCCACTAGAGACACTACAGAAAGAAAAGAAAAACTGCAGTCAACAAAATATACATAAAAAAAACCAAACTCTTAAGTTATTAGCTTTAAGATAATCTTCTGACAGCAATAAACTTTCCCTCCAAACTTTCCTCCCAAACTTCTCTAATTTCTCCTCCTTGCATATGTAATTAAAGCCCTCGCGGACCCTTCTCATTTGCTGGATCGTTTGGTCACTGCTTCCTGCTCGTTGGATCGTATGGTCACTGCTTCCTGCTCCGCCCTGCGCTCCTGTTTTGTCTTTTTTTTTTTCCTTCTATTAATGACAAGCTGGTTCCTTAGCTTTCCATTAAAAAAAGGATATTATGAAAACGAAACTTCGTAGGTATCAACTAAGCAAAGTAAATAAAAAATAGATTAAAGACAATTCTAAAAGTTGATTGTTTTCTCAGGGGACACTAGGAATCCAGTACATTTGCTCAATTTTGGTGGATTTCTCTCTTACAAGACTTTGAATGCAGGCTAGGTTAGCCAAGGGCACTTCTCTTCACATTTTGGGAATTTCCTTGGCCAGTTTCTAGGCTTTAAACTCAAATTACCAAAAACTAGCAATATCCAATTTCATGGGAGATCTATACCCACATTAAGGAACAAGTAATCATTGTAGATGCTTGAGGCAGTATTAGGGATGAGAATTTCCTGCCGCCAGCAGAGAAGAATACTTAGAACCAAGAATGAGCATAACTTTCTGTGCTATCTGTATCTCTGCTTTATTTTAATCTGTTGCATTTAGCAGCAGTATTTCCTAGTGGGAGAATAAACATGAGCGGTGATATGTGCTTGGACATTTGATTATTGCTTATATGATCGGGGATGACTCAGACTTGAGCAATAATTTATTCAGCTTCTACTTCGGGCTTCTGTGGATTAGTAAGTTTTCATGCTCTTCGTTCTATATAAATTTATGACAAGATGGGATCTGAATGGATGGTTAGAAAAGTAGCTGGAGATATTTTAGGAAGGATGAGTGGGGTAATGATCAATTAGACGATTAAATAGTTGGAGATAATTAAGGACAAAGATGAGGTGGCCAGAAATCCAAGCGTAAATTTAAATTTAAAAGTTTATTTGATGTGAATGTTGAATTTCGAACTGAATTTAATTTGAAATTGGAGCATAAAATAAGTATTAAAATTGGAAGACTTTACTGAGATTGTTAGGGGCTGTTGGAACTTAAAATATAGAATGGCAAAATAATTTTAGTTTTTTGCTTCCTAGAGATTGCTGGGAGGATTTGATGGAAAGTAGAATGGCAGTGAAAGTGTTCTGGTGGTTAAAGGCACAAGAAACAGGAAATTACAGCAGAAACAAATGCGTAACTGAAGAAGAATTGGTGTAGATGCAATGTCTGGTAGAATGATGGGGAGTTTCTCGTGGCTAGGCTGAGCGTTGCTGGAAAATAATTTTAGAAACAAAGATTTTGTTCTAGGAGACGTGCATATATACTGGAACAAGGATCAATCAAGCCAGGAATTTTATTTGGTCCGGCTTTTACTGACACAGGCAATAAAATTAAGTGCGGAAAGAGCAAAATCAATGGTCATAATCTGAAATGTTAAGTGATCATAATGTAAAATCTATAGTACATCAAATCATAGATATTATCCTATGCAAACAGTGCTACCTATTGACAGAGATGGACAATGGAATTTGAAAAGCTAAAGGAATGTGGTGTTTTGAGAAAAATGAGAAGAGAAATTGGGGATACAATAAAAATAACTAAAGAAAAAAAAATAGCCGGCTGTCTTACAAAGTGCTCTAACCCTTTCAGAGGAAATGGAGAAGTGGCGATTGCCGGCTGTCTTACAAAGTGCTCTAGCCCTTTCAGAGGAAATGGAGAAGTGGCGGGCTCCTAAAATTTGCTACCCGGCCTCCCTTGAGATGATGAAAGAGTTTTACATTAAGTTTCAGGTCAAATTTTTAAGAGGATGAAATTGCGAATAAGATGATATACAGAAATTTTGCCCTCATTTTGCAAGAACTTTTAGGTTTAATGTTTTCCATAATTGCAAGTTCCAATGGTCAATTACCTCCACGATAATTGGAGAACAGTTTAGCTTAAGACTTGTTATTAGAGCGCTGATTGCTCAACATATAATAGCAACTACTTGGATTTTTAGATTGAGAAATTCATCATTGTGAGCATAGAGTGGATGATGGTGGTTAATTACTGGATCAAGATCGAAAGTTTTCGAAGCCCATTTGTCATGATATCTAGTTGTTGACCTCAATTTTCGTGAGGTCTAGTATTCCTCATAGGAGTTAGGATCTAGCCTTAGGGGTCTTCCTGCGACTATCTTAGAACCTTAGAAGTGGTGCCCGCCTCGTTTTAGTTCGACCTATTTCCGTCCTCTTTTGGAGGTTTCGCGTGTGTGGTATCGACTTCTAGCACTTAGAATGATGAAATCGACATGAGGAAGCCCAAAATAGATTCCTATAGGACCTTTCCGAGCCTTAGGTTGACCTTCTGCACAATTCGCACTCCTGCGCGCACCAGCTTCGCAATTCGGAGAGTCGACGTGTCCGATCTCTGCAATTCACATTGCCTGCACCGTTATTTGCCGAGGGCTCGAGTTAACCACTTGTGACGATCGGTCGCGGGTCGAATTTTTGTGAAATTTGAATTTCGACGCGTTTTGACCCGATTGTCGACGACGTCGTCCGAGCGACCCCGGATGACGAAACGGACTGCGCCAACGCGTCCGGAACGTCGATTTTGCCCGGGG